TCGCTCATGTCCAATATCGTTGTTACCACCACTACCATTGCCAATTTATCTCCGGCCACCACATTTTTACTCCCACCCTATCACCACCACCGTATATAAATCCGCAACGTCCTTACACGGCCAAGATCACATTGTCTAATAGAGTCTTTGCTCGATTAATTATTTCTCTTGACGTTTTACCATCAGGAGGTCGCATCGTTCTGAGCAACTTCTCTGCTCGGAGATTCTGGGATGACGTACGTAAATACAAGGCTACAGTTATTCCTTATATCGGGGAATTGTGCCGCTATTTGTTGGCTCAACCACCGGTAAGACATGGATTTTTTGACTACACCGAATTATTTTACTACATAAGACACAGGGCTTAAACTTGGCTCGTCTGCGCTGTAGCTAGTGATGCATATGACAACTAGCACAGGACGGAAGACTTTTTCTGTCATTCATGGGAGAGAGTTTCATTTTGAGCAATAACACGATATTAACACTTCCACGTGTTTGTGACGTATGGGCACTGACTGTACACGTGTGTGTTTTGAAGGCAAGACGTGCACTTTTTCCCTTTACAACATTCTGTGGATATTTTTCCAGCACTTTGCATATTGCAGTGGGGCAAGCAAATTGGGTCTAGTCTTTAAATTGAAAAACGAAAAATGAAACGCTCAGAAGATTTTGTTTTTTTTGTGAATAATTAAGCATGTAATTGGCTAACCCAGCACAAATTGAAAAGAAATAGAAAGATTAAGGGCAAAATATAATCTAATTCTTATTTGAAAAATCTCAGTGATGTCGCCCTTCATGTTATTGAGCCTAAACTTTGTTGATTTCACACAGTCTTCAATGGGGCTTGAATTTCAGTTTGTTACATACGTCCGATGGACCGGGCGCTATCGGTCGATGGCGCTATTTACAAAATGGTGCACCTCTACGTGGTTTCATCAAGGAAATGATGGAAAAAAGTCTCCCTTTTAAGGTATAACTTAAGGTGTAAGTCGCGTGTACGATTTGTCTCCCATATGTACGCCTTGTGAAATACATCGTAGGAGTCGATTGGGAATTATTTTCCACCCATGTCTGTCTCTAGTAAAAATTTGCATAATTTGGTTTAATATGCAGCGTATGGATGACGGTAAATATAGCCACAAGATTCGCTATGCACTGGGTAACGGCATGGCAGCAGACATATGGGAAGAGTTCCAGAAACGGTTTAACATTAAACACATCCACGAGTTCTACGGATCAACAGAAGGGACATACTCTTTTGTCAACTTGGACGGGAAAGTGGGAAGCGTGGGCAGATACCCGCCCGTGCTCGCGGTAAGTATGATTGTGCTGACGAGATATTTCAGATATGGCTGGTGGACCTGGGAGATTGGTTGAAAATATCTCAGCCAGTCTGTGAACAGTTCACAGGAGGGCGTTTGTAATACAATGTTTATGTAATTCTGTCTAAATTATGAGATACGTTTCATTTTAAAGCGAGAGAGGCTTCTATAATTGGCTCGTTAATTGATTAATTGTCCCCAGGCCCTGACTGACGTGGTCGTGAGGGTGCAGTGCGACATGGAGACAGCTGAGCCACTGCGAGGGTCGAATGGGTTATGTCTCCTTGCTCCTAAAGGTATACCACAGTGCTGTCTCTTGTTATTGTTGAAGTCTTGTGAAATCGTGTGCCTCGTGAGAATTCGCCGTTTTACACCCTGCTCCTTTTGCTTGCAGGTCAAACTGGCCTGATGCTTTTCCGACTGAACGAAACGATGAGATTTGACGGTTACCAAGGAGACGAAAGTGTCAACCAGAAGAAGCTGGTTCGCAACGTCAAGAAACACGGCGACGTATTCTTCAACACGGGCGATCTGATGCTTCTGGACAAGGATTATTACCTGTATTTCAAGGACAGGTTGGGAGACACATTTAGGTAGGGTCTGTGTAAACACGATACACACTGCTACTTCGCTGAAGATTCCACGAAACAGCGATGACGTCACTAGCCTGAATATCAAGGGGGGGGGGAGCCGAAGTACATGTACATGTTTTTCATGTTGTGCACATTACCAACTGTCTAATGGGGGGAGGGCACCTAGGATGAGGGAGCCCCGGCTATCGGGGCACGTGACCCTGTCAAAGTTAACCCCGTTCATGGTACTCTTTATATAGTGCTGTAAATGATCAGGAAGCTTTTCTGTTATCTACCGTCTCCAGATGGAAAGGTGAAAATGTAGCAACTACCGAGGTCGCCCAAGTTCTAAATTTGTTCGTCTCCGTGGAAGACACGAATGTCTACGGTGTGCAAGTGCCAGGTAAGGCCATTTGTTAAATGCTCCACACTTGAGCACTGTTGTCACAAATCCAATAAGTCACAAAGCGCAGATACGAGCCCCAAAACGGGCTGATTTTTTTTGATGAGATTATCCCTCGGATTACCCGTGCAGAAATGTAAAAACAAAATTTTCTCCTTACGTCTTTGCTCAATTGTTGAGCTTGCAAGCTGCGATACAGAAAGCATTTCCGATGCTTTCGAAGAGGTCACATATAAAGGAAATTTAGTAAGTCCTCTTTTTCATACTCTTCCAAAATTATTCGGCATTCAGTGTGTTTAAATAATCAGTTAGGGTTGAATGGACTGCATTTTATGTATTGTGTGCCTAGCTGATATTTTTTCAGTTCATCATGATGCCCAAAAAATAATATCCCAATGATTTTACTGTATACGTTTTACTCAACTTACAATAAGCGTACCTGTCTTTTCTTACTTCTCTCTAACTTCACCAGGAAATGACGGAAAAGCTGGAATGGCAGCCATCAATTTGAAGCAGGGACACCAACTCGACCCAAAGGGTTTCTACGATCACGTGGTCAGGTCACTGCCACTCTACGCATGCCCAAAGTTTCTGCGAATCATGAAAGAGATGGAAATTACGGGGACATTCAAACACAAGAAGACTGACCTCGCCCGAGAGGGATTTGACCCCAATGTCATATCAGACCCTCTCTTTTTCATGGACGTAGAGAAGAAGACTTATGCACCCTTGGACAAGGACGCCATGCGAAGAATTGTCTTCGGGAAGGCTAGGCTATGAATACAGATGTAATAAAACAGGAAAGATAAATTCATTCATCACAATTAAACAAAAATAAGCAAATAAAGCAATTGGTGAAATTTATTTAACTTGGCGGGAGATTGCATCACATATCTGATACTTTACGACAAGCGAAATGTTTTAAATACTAAATGTTCACTTTGTTGTACGATGAGTCATCATAACCAATTTCGTTTTCTATTATCATGAACCTTCCGTAAAGAGAGAAAAGAACTGCTTTACAACACAACAGCGTCTGAAAAGCGAATTTTGAGGAAACTTACTATTGTGATACGAGTCCATGTACTCTCCATGCCAATTAGCGGCACCCTGCCACTTCAGCTCAACTGAAAAGAAAATCGAGAAACACTTTCTCTTTTGTTTTCATTTTGAAATGCGACAACCCTATGTTATTAATGGAACTTCCAAACTAGCTTAAAGTGGAAACCAGACTATAAAAAGTCCGTAAAATTTCAAGAGGGCATTCTAGTAAAACAACCAAAAAATCATTGTCTTAACGTGAACTGTTATGCCCTCTTTACCTTTGTTTTTCAAAGGGCGTCTACTTGGAGCTTTGATAGGAACTGGGCAAATATAATAACTTCGACGGAAAATTGTTCTTACAGGGCAAGTTGATGTTAGTTGAACGAAATGGATGAATCCGCCTTAAAGTGGATTAATTGGTGACTTCATGTATACGGGTCTGTTCTATAATGCATTTATAATGGTCTCTACAAGATGCCCGTAGACTTTTACGCAAAGATTATTCTTCTCTAAAGCCTGGGGCCGTGGTGATCTCAAGAAAAAATCTGATGGGTGGTGTTTGAGAATTGGGAAATGTACGCTTAACTTTTGTTATCATACCGGTAACTTGTAGTCCCAGTGAACCTTTCAGTAAGAGATTAGTTATCAAACACTCATGTGCATAAAAAAGGTACCGATGTCATATTCTGTACGATTTCTACAAGTTGGCTCAGCCACGACTCATCTCTTGAGAACTGCAGTTGCGTAGCCAGGGGAGCCTGGGGGCACGTGCCCTCCCCCCCCCAAAAAAAACATTCCAGGTGCCCCCCACTGAAAAAAAAAACCGGAGGAATGGATTTTGAACAAGGCTAACAAAAACTTGCTCCCCCCCAAAATACACCACTGAAAGCAGGTGCCCCCCCCAAGATGCATGTGCCCCTTTGTGCCCCCCACCAAAAAACCCTAGCTACGCCACTGGAGAGTGGTGTGTGGTATCCGGAATATCACAGTCTTTGATCTGGTGCAGAAAGGAGTTGATTTCCTTGTGTGCTAGGTGTATGAAAATAGTTTGCACATTACGACTCAGAGGTTTAGAAAGTTTTCGGAATAAAAACGTGGAACTCCCATAGATGTTGAGAAAATAACATTGAAGTTTTTAGCCATGTACATTTTAGAGGCTGTTCTATCTTCACGCTTCGTGCTTATCACGCGCGTGCTTGCATATTATAATTACGAATTAGCGATAAAAGGACTTCAGCAACTGTATACAATCGTCTCTCCATTTGTTTCCCCTCAAAGACGATCATAAGATCATTCTCCACTGACTTTGTCCAATCTTTAATGACTGATTATTATCTGGCTGAGGCATGGTCCTTCAATGAAGCAACAACTATAAGTACTTTAGACTCTTTTTTCTTCCAAAAGCAAAGCCTCCATGGGTGTAATGTCGTCTGCGTTGTGAAACAGAGGTTGGTGCAACAAACAAGGAAAAACGCTCTGGGGCCTTGCCGGGTTTTGCCTAAAATACTTCCACATCGTAGCGGACCTGTGATTTCAATTGTTAGCATGTACTTGTATTATGTACTTTAACATGTGAATAATGACGCTGCAGAGCTGAGCAGGCACGATATGTTATGCCCTATGGGTTTTCAATGACCATTTCAAGATCTGTACGGCGGTGCGGGTGCGTTTGGTGTAGATCACACAACCGGGACCTTTCAATCATGTCGGGCGTTCCTGTCAACCATCGAGCACTCAGCGGTTGCTGCGACCGTAGCAGGAATTCCCGTTCGCAGTTGCCGGGTTTTTGCGCCTGAAGCGTGGTCCAACGGTTTTCGCAGATCTTCTGGAACTATGCAGGGGGTTTTCGTAGGCTCGGAGAAATCGAAGCATTGCTGGACAAGGATTCCAAAGTCATTGACTTCTTTGAGGAGCACGCGAACGAAGCCCAGATAAAGAATTCGTTCTGTCCAGGATGAGGTACTCACCTATGGTGAACTGGACAGACAGGCTAACCAACTCGTCGTCTTTGTCCAGCGAAGCTGGTTGGCCACGGTGGCGATATTCATGCGGAACGGGCCCAGTTTCGTCTTGTCGTGGCTGGCTTTCAACAAGCCGGGGGCAG